TTATACAAGTAAAACATGATCCATAAAATTATTTAGTGCATACAGCAGGACTTTAAATCTTTCCTTCATTAAAGCAACTAGTTTTAAGAGAATTGACATCAATGGATCCAATCTATCCAATGGCTCAAGACTTTTATTTGATTAGTTTGTACGAAACTTTGAATCCGATGTTATTCTAATTGCGTTGAATCACCTTCCATGCGTGATTCTAACTTGCAACATTTATATAATTGACTCGTCTGCTCATATTATCTCCATGCAGTTTAGTAGTGTTGCTGTATGAAGGTCAAATCATATTTTGATCTCATTACACTTTGCACATACTTTACTTTTCGACTTTGTAAAATTATATTTATATCCTCTATTTTTGATGAAGAGTTTGTACAGAAATGAATGGTGGTAGTTACACAAATGAAATAAACGTACATATTGCTTCAAAGTCCCGTATTTTTAATACATTTCTCTAAGTGAGCTGTTTAAAATTATTAGTGATTCTTTGAAAAGGTTTATATTACAATTAAAGAAATAAATCTGACCCTAAAATTCGAAATTGCTAATTTACTGACATTAAAAAACATTAAAATAAAGTTCAGAATATAGTGTTGATTAAATTGTTTATTTTCCTCATTTATAACGCGTTTAGTAAAAATTAAATAAATTTTCTGAAGGAATGATACGTTAAAGAAATATGATGTTCAGAACAGCATATACAGCTCTGACACTTTATTCGCGAAATTTAAAAGTAAATTAATACCTTTGAAGTATTTATATATTATAAATTTATATATAATATATTTATATATTATGTATTTATATATCTAAAATTTATATATAATATATTTATATATTATATATTTATATATTATACATTTATTTATTGAATATTTAGATATTATATATCTATCAATTACATATCTATATAATACAAATCTATATTTTATATATTTTATATTATAAGTAATAACACAGAAAAATATCCTAAAAACATTATAAATTTCCTTCACTTTTTTGAAAATTGTTTAGGTGATGTAATTTTTTTTCTGAAATAATTTTGAATAGGTTGTATTACAGACTTTTGGATTTCATGATAATTAAAAATACCCATTAAAAAATAAAACAAATTAATTACCTTAAAAATAAACCTTAATTTCGTAAATTAATTACCTTAATTTTGATTAGAATTAAAACAAATACTAAAATTATAATTATCAAAACCAGTTAGTGCAATTTTTACTTCTTTTAAAGATCCTTGAAAAGAAACGAACTATATTTTTTCAAAGAAGTGAAGTACCTTAATTTATAAAAATATTTCTTTTAGTTTGCTCCATTGTCTTTAATATCTATGAACAGCAATTTTATTTCAAATGAAAACTTAAATTAATTATATTTCAACCAGTGTTAGCAATTATTACGCACTGTCAATTATATAATTGAGTATTTCTTAATCTCCATCCTTAATATATTTTATAAATAGTAATTAATAATTGCTATGGAATACACTCGAGATACATAATTTTATATCATTTATAGTCTTATATGTAGTTTTAAATATATATTTTAGTATTTTGTATATGTATGTGTAATTTTAAAATGTAGCGAAATATATGCTAAAAATATGACATGGGATGAAAACTTTGTTAGGGTCTGACGATCCACTACTGATACAAAAGTGACAGAAATTTCGAAAACATATTGTGTAAAGTTATTCTGCTTTTCCACTCCTCTTTGCTTCATCCGGTATTTCAACAGTAGATGTTTTCATTCTCTCTTATCTCAGTAGTGATTCATTAGATTGCGATATACCTTTGGTTTTTTCCCGCGCTGAAATATTAATTTGTTCCACCATATGCAACTATACTGTATAAAATCTATTGATGGTGTAATTTGCTGACGATCAGATTTGCGTACAATGCAATGCATGCACAAATTGTACTTAATATATCAGCCTGTTTGGTAAGAGAAAATATTAAATTACGGCTGCGAACTAACCAAATTTATTGAAACAATATACCTTCAATTTTAAATGTTTTTAAGAAATGATTAATTAACACAATTATTTATGCTCATTAAAAGATCATAATAGAGTCATAAGGGATATCGAATCCTACGAGATCTTTCATACGATTTACCAATCAAATTTGACTACATGCCTTTAATTTGAAGAAATTAACGTTCAGGAAGTGGAGGCGCAAGTGTAAGCATACAGAAAATAGTACTTACATTTTAAGTGAATAATTTCAACTTTTTATACAAAAAACAAAAACAGTTTTATGCTAAGAAACAACAATTATTGCGAAACGAGGTTGGTAAGCAGCGGCAAACAAGGGCCTTAGTTCCCCAGTATTTTATATGCTTTCTTCATTTTGACAATGGATTCTAAAATTATTCATTACTGACGTTTCTTATAATCCAGCAATTATACCAAAAAAATGGTGTTTTATCAGAAAAATTAATATTCAAGGTATTTTTGGACAAAAACTTTGCTATGTTAATGTAAATGTGTGTGGTACCTAAAATCTCCCCAGCTCTTCTCCGCATGCTCCCTTCGCTGTTTTCTTTTTTGAAGTGAAACTTCTAATGCAAGGTTGCGTTAAACGTTTAACGCTACCATGGCAACGAGCGGCCTGTGATCCTTGCAGGAGATTTTAATGTGAATTTCTCGTTACCTGAAGCTGAAACATTATTAACCTTCCTTAAAGACAAATTTGGATTGGAAATGATAAATGGTAGGAATGATCCAACAACCAAAGGGGGAACTACCATTGATGCAGTTTTTGCAAGAAATATTGAAAAAATAGAACTCAAACATTTCGTATCTTACTTTAGTTATCATAATCCCATTGTAAATGTTATAGATTTGGATATTTCTCCACNATTATCTGCAGTATAAAACATAATAAAACAACAAGAGAAAAATTATTTAAATTCTTTCCATGGATATATAAAATGCAGTCAGAAAAGTAGTGACGTTTCAAAAGTAATAAAATATAAAAAAAATATTAACTGAATTCTCAATAATGTCGGAAAAAATGTTGTTCAGCATTATATTTCTTACTAAAAATATATTTTTAAGAATCTCACTAAGAGAAACCATGACAATATGGCTTAGGGAAAAAATTCTAAAATGAGTTGCGAATTGAGCAATTCTTATTCAAAAAATGAAATTTCTTGTTATAATAAGTAAATTAGCTCGTTAAACTATAAAAGCTTTGTTAGGTTTTTCATTTCTTTCTTTCACGTGCAATATATTGTACAGAAACTAAACCTTGAAACAGCAGTATAACTTTTGAAAATATGATTTGATTTTCGATCGCTAAGTCGCAGTACCAATTGTTCAAGAACTTGACTTAAGGAATGTTAAATGCACTGTTCGCCATTAAAATTGATAAGCAGAGAAGATGGCACGCCATACACGTGAAGACGAATAAAGCATAGAGTTACATGCAAGTAATTTGCTGTTCAGCATATTCATTCAAAGCTAGAAACAGTAGCGTGCTTATAGTATGCTTATGGAACAGAAACGTGAGAATAATTCCTTATACTTCAGTTTGAATTTAAATGCTATTTTTGACTTAAAAGAAAATATGATGCCTCGTGAACGAAGAAGAAATGCTAACCAGCACGCGCCTGACCTAGATGGAGATTATGTTATAGCTTACTGGAGTTGTAAATTAATGGGGTTTATTGTGCCACGAGCCTAAGTCTTCGGAGATCCCTAATCTGTCCACGGATTATAATATTAATAAGTACGGGACAGTCATGTGGAACAACGTTCTAGATTTCAGTGAGCCTAACCACCACTTCTAAATGCCGAGAAAGCAGACATCTTATCCACTTGCTACAAAAATCACACAACCACATCATGAATCTTCAGACGAGAGATGATGTTGTTTGTTAGAGAAAAAGCTTTTTGTAGAACAGATTAGCGATATTTGCAGCAATATGAACTGTTATTAATTTTGAATCATAAAGTGTAAATTATTTTTTTTTAGTAATGATTCCATACTTAAAGGGATAAAAATTTAAATCTGCCAAGAAAAAGCGCGTTTAGTTAGAGAATGTAAGTCTGTTTTCATGACTTTAAACAAACTCCTGCTTGTGAAAATTGCAACACCATGAAGGAATCGTCATAATTGAATGAAATTTACTACACGGTTGAGTGGTAGTAGTACAAATAAATGATTAAACTTTCAAAGCAAAAAAACAATAACAAGAGATCAAAACCAGTATTTTGTGTAGCTACCACGCACCGCAATAAGCGCTGTTACACGACGTGGTATGGAGTCAAGCAAATTTTGAATGTGTGTCTGAGGAAGAACATTCCATATAGTTCGTATGCGTACCCAAAGTTCGTCTGCAGAAGCAACAGGACGAGGATCACGAGCGAGCACCGACCAACGAAATGACACACATGTTCAATCAATGACGTATCAGGGGAATACGCAGGCCAAGGAAGAAGATATACCTGCCGCAATGCAAGGAAGGATTCAACAGTCCTAGCAATATGAGGGCGGGCATTGCTTGTTGAAATACAGCGCCTAGCAAGGCTTGAAGGAAGGGAACAGCTTGGGGCTGTAAAACTTCACTGATGTACCGGTTGTTGTTCAGATTACCCACATTTCGTAGCAATTGAGATCGTCCATGATATGCTATGGCACCCCAGACCATAACTCCGGGTGTTTGTCCACTGTGGTGTTCGATAATGCACTCTGGAAGGTGGCGTTCACAGCCATAGCGCCAGACACGAATGCGGCCATTATGGTACCACAAATTAAAGCGGGATTCGTCAGAAAACACGATATGTTGCCAATCAGCACGCTAGTCCTTATGCTGATTGGCCCATTGTAGCCGCTGGCGGCTATGGTTTAGCGTGAGGGTGATCCTGAATAAAGGAGTCCCTGCGTGCAGTCCACGCTGCAGCATATTCCAATTAACAATTTTATTGCCCTTTATCTGAAAAAATTTCGTTTTTCATGAATTAATTCCGTTTTTTTTTTCAGGCCTGGCACAAGCGATACTTCGTACTAAGAGACGAAACACAGGATCGAAGTCCCTGTTTGGAGATGTACGAGAAAGATGAGTTATTCACAGCCCCTCTGGGCATTGCAGGACCAAAATTGATCCTTGACCTGGGGCAGTGCGTCCATATCGGTTTCACTTCCGACTCCTCCAGATTTCCTTATGCTTTGGTCATCGTTTGCCAAGGGAGGTCACCTCTTATCTTAGCAGCAGAAGATGAATTAAGTGCGAGATCTTGGTTGCTGGCCTTAGGTCTCATAACTCATAAGGGAAACTCTAGTAAGACCATAATAAATTTACAAACGCTCTGAATTGCATAATTGAAATAATACTGCCTTTAACTTGCATTTATAACACTTTATTTTAATCAAATTGTTTTAAATTGGAATACTTGTTGATTTAAATGAATGTAAGTTGCAGACATTGTATTATTTTAATTTAAATTTAAAAGAAACTTTTATTAAAATAGTTAAAATTCAAGAAATCAAAAATATTATAAAATAATTATAATTCAAGAAATCAAAAATATTATGAAACAGTTATAATTATAGACTGGTATAACGAGATATATAGTTATTTTGCGTTCATAGTTCATGGATAAAAGCAAAACAACTGTAGCTAGTTAACCACAACAGTTTTGAAACCTTTCAAAAAAATGCAACATCAAATAATAGTTCAAAATGACAATGACTAGCGTAGCGTATATTAAAGTAATCGTATACTATTATAAGGTTAATAGATTGATTTTTTAAATGAATGTGTTGAAAAGTGCTTTTCTTTTAATCTAAATCTTAATAGTCGATTTCGAACTAGACTAGAGATGGCTTATCAAATCGACTGAATTAATTTAAACTAAATTCCGAATGTTTACAAATATTTTTCACAAAAGAAGTTCGTAAAATTGTTCAATTTTATTGCATAGCATGCTTAAAATGTCTCCATTTTATTCCTCTTAATTTATTCAAAAAATAACAATAATATAATTTTTCTTTTAACTCTGAGCAAGAGAAAATAAAAATCTCTTGCAAAATTATCTGCAGTATAAAACATAATAAAACAACAAGAGAAAAATTATTTAAATTCTTTCCATGGATATATAAAATGCAGTCAGAAAAGTAGTGACGTTTCAAAAGTAATAAAATATAAAAAAAATATTAACTGAATTCTCAATAATGTCGGAAAAAATGTTGTTCAGCATTATATTTCTTACTAAAAATATATTTTTAAGAATCTCACTAAGAGAAACCATGACAATATGGCTTAGGGAAAAAATTCTAAAATGAGTTGCGAATTGAGCAATTCTTATTCAAAAAATGAAATTTCTTGTTATAATAAGTAAATTAGCTCGTTAAACTATAAAAGCTTTGTTAGGTTTTTCATTTCTTTCTTTCACGTGCAATATATTGTACAGAAACTAAACCTTGAAACAGCAGTATAACTTTTGAAAATATGATTTGATTTTCGATCGCTAAGTCGCAGTACCAATTGTTCAAGAACTTGACTTAAGGAATGTTAAATGCACTGTTCGCCATTAAAATTGATAAGCAGAGAAGATGGCACGCCATACACGTGAAGACGAATAAAGCATAGAGTTACATGCAAGTAATTTGCTGTTCAGCATATTCATTCAAAGCTAGAAACAGTAGCGTGCTTATAGTATGCTTATGGAACAGAAACGTGAGAATAATTCCTTATACTTCAGTTTGAATTTAAATGCTATTTTTGACTTAAAAGAAAATATGATGCCTCGTGAACGAAGAAGAAATGCTAACCAGCACGCGCCTGACCTAGATGGAGATTATGTTATAGCTTACTGGAGTTGTAAATTAATGGGGTTTATTGTGCCACGAGCCTAAGTCTTCGGAGATCCCTAATCTGTCCACGGATTATAATATTAATAAGTACGGGACAGTCATGTGGAACAACGTTCTAGATTTCAGTGAGCCTAACCACCACTTCTAAATGCCGAGAAAGCAGACATCTTATCCACTTGCTACAAAAATCACACAACCACATCATGAATCTTCAGACGAGAGATGATGTTGTTTGTTAGAGAAAAAGCTTTTTGTAGAACAGATTAGCGATATTTGCAGCAATATGAACTGTTATTAATTTTGAATCATAAAGTGTAAATTATTTTTTTTTAGTAATGATTCCATACTTAAAGGGATAAAAATTTAAATCTGCCAAGAAAAAGCGCGTTTAGTTAGAGAATGTAAGTCTGTTTTCATGACTTTAAACAAACTCCTGCTTGTGAAAATTGCAACACCATGAAGGAATCGTCATAATTGAATGAAATTTACTACACGGTTGAGTGGTAGTAGTACAAATAAATGATTAAACTTTCAAAGCAAAAAAACAATAACAAGAGATCAAAACCAGTATTTTGTGTAGCTACCACGCACCGCAATAAGCGCTGTTACACGACGTGGTATGGAGTCAAGCAAATTTTGAATGTGTGTCTGAGGAAGAACATTCCATATAGTTCGTATGCGTACCCAAAGTTCGTCTGCAGAAGCAACAGGACGAGGATCACGAGCGAGCACCGACCAACGAAATGACACACATGTTCAATCAATGACGTATCAGGGGAATACGCAGGCCAAGGAAGAAGATATACCTGCCGCAATGCAAGGAAGGATTCAACAGTCCTAGCAATATGAGGGCGGGCATTGCTTGTTGAAATACAGCGCCTAGCAAGGCTTGAAGGAAGGGAACAGCTTGGGGCTGTAAAACTTCACTGATGTACCGGTTGTTGTTCAGATTACCCACATTTCGTAGCAATTGAGATCGTCCATGATATGCTATGGCACCCCAGACCATAACTCCGGGTGTTTGTCCACTGTGGTGTTCGATAATGCACTCTGGAAGGTGGCGTTCACAGCCATAGCGCCAGACACGAATGCGGCCATTATGGTACCACAAATTAAAGCGGGATTCGTCAGAAAACACGATATGTTGCCAATCAGCACGCTAGTCCTTATGCTGATTGGCCCATTGTAGCCGCTGGCGGCTATGGTTTAGCGTGAGGGTGATCCTGAATAAAGGAGTCCCTGCGTGCAGTCCACGCTGCAGCTGACGTCCACGAATTGATGATGCACATAATGAAACACCTGTAGCTATGGACCACTGTGCTGCCAGTTGTCTAAAGGGAACCGTACGGTCTGTCAGCGCCATGCGGACCAGGTGTCTATCATCGCGAGCTGACGTGACATTTCGGGGTCCACTCCCGGATTTCCGAGTTGTCTGACACTCGTCCGTCCACTGCTTCCAAACGCGCATCACTGTGCTGCTGTTACGCTGCACACGAGCGGCTACTGCACGATGAGACAATCCAGCTTAACGAAGGCCGATGATTCTCCCCCTTTCAAATTCCGTAAGTTGTTGAAATCTTGCTCTCTTTCGTCAAAGAGGCATAAGTAACGTCTGAGCTAACGTTTACCACTAGCAGATAACCACCGATAACCATACACGCCTCGCTACAGCCGTCTATTTATTCGGATTCATCCACCGTTCAGAGGGAGCGGCTCAGCATACGCATGCGCTACGGGTCTGAAATTCTAATCATTTGCATATTATGCTCTACTTTACATTTCCTGAAAATTTCAGCTCACTCGCGTAAGTCCTTCATAGTGTTGCAATTTTCACAAATATGAGTTTACGATCGGCACTAATTAATTAGTATATATAAGAATCTCACGAAACATTTAGGCATTGCATCTAAATAGTTCAGACGTTATTTATTTTGTTCTGTATTTTAGTTTGAGCGTAGTAAATGAGCAATACAAATTAGCAAAAAAATATATTATTTTTTCACGAATTTGCATTTTTTGTCAAAAATCGAATATGTTTAATCAGAGAGAGTACGCTTATGCGTCTGATTTCTTGAGTTTAAATATGACATTCACTAATTAATTAACATATTAAAGTGCCACATGCATCCTTAGAGCGCTGTATCTTAATGGTTCAGATGTTATTAAGGTGGTTCCGTTTCTTATTCTGTCACGGTATGTAATAAAGCAGGATTGCAAATTTGCTAGAAAATGTAATTACAGTACTATAATCTTGTCCTGAATTGTTATAATGCTGATAAAATTGAAATTGAGTGATGTCCTCTTTAGCTCAGTGCCAGAAAACATCCTTCATTCCACCACCTTCACTCTTACTGGAGAGACGAACTCATAGGAACAAAGCTGCCTACAGAGATACCTGTTCCTTACCTCAGGAGTCATCAGCCCCGTTATCAGTGGAGAGTACTGCGGCTACTCTTCTGCCTGAAGAATATAACGACAATGATATGGACTGTAAGAAACATTCTATTTAAATTATTTGTTTATTTCTCATTTTTTAAAGTCAATGATTTTATTTCATCAGCTGTTTTCCCCCCATAATAAATGCATTTTATGGTTTCTGATCAGAACAACGCCATGTTAAGTAATTATTCTAATTATTAGGGAGATTTCGCAAATTTACGTTAGTTTCTGTACACTCCCGCACGTAAGATCTCAAGTAATTGCGCAAGTGCTCTTTTTGAAGGCATGTGCCAATTCTGGTGAAATGCGCACGCGCCCATGAAAAAATATCGAACTTATGTCGTAAGCGATTTTGCGAAAACCCATAAGTTAAAAAAGCTAACTTAGTGGAATATCACTTTAACTTTGATCAAAAAACCAAAACAAAGATTTACAATGGATGGAGACAAATTTTTTTAAAGCTGTGGCATATGATTCAAGATGCTTCTAAACGTAAAACTTTGGATCTGTGAGCAGAAAAACTTCGTAGATTATTGAATTGATGAATTTAGCGATAAAGAATGCAACTTATTACTATTATTATTAATAATAATTATACCTACAAAAATGTTATTGAACTTCCATTGATTTTAGAACCTATTTAAACTAAATTTTGTACTTAAAATGAATATAATTTATAATTATGAAACAGCAAAAAGATATTTAGTTTCTTTGGGCGTTAGTGCAATTGGATAAACATAATGTTGAACAGAAACCAATAAAATTATTTTTTATTGAAAAAACAAATAGTTGTAAGATCAGAAGATTCATTTCTAAATATCATCAATACATATCATCAAATTCATTTTCTATGTCCATGTTTTTAGTTCAAAGGTAGGCTTAAATAGAAAACAAAATTTAACAGCTATGCACAGCGTGTTTTAAGCTTTTTTTTGTAGCGCAAATTACGCCAACATAACGTAAGGATAAATATCATCCTGAATAAACGCGAGCATGTTCAGTTGCTTCAATCTTACGTATGGGAGAATACGGAAGCTAGCGTAAATAAACGCAAGCATGTTCAGTTGCTTCAATCTTACTTACGGGAGAGTACGGAAGCTAGCGTAAATAAACGCAAGCATGTTCAGTTGTTTCAATCTTACTTACGGGAGAGTAAGGAAGCTAGCGTAAATAAACTCAAGCATGTTCAGTTGCTTCAATCTTACTCACGGGGGAATACGGAAGCTAGCGTAAATAAACGCAAGCATGTTCAGTTGCTTCAATCTTACTTACGGGAGAGTACGGAAGCTAGCGTAAATAAACGCAAGCATGTTCAGTTGCTTCAATCTTACTCACGGGAGAGTACGGAAGCTAGCGTAAATAAACTCAAGCATGTTCAGTTGCTTCAATCTTACTCACGGGAGAGTAAGGAAGCTCGCGTAAATAAACGCAAGCATGTTCAGTTGCTTCAATCTTACCTACGGGAGAGTAAGGAAGCTAGCGTAAATAAACGCAAGCATGTTCTGTTGCTTCAATCTTACTTACGGGAGAGTAAGGAAGCTCGCGTAAATAAACGCAAGCATGTTCAGTTGCTTCAATCTTACTTACGGGAGAGTACGGAAGCTAACGTAGAAGTGCGAAATCTCCCTATTATTTGACATTCTTGAATATTCAGACAGTAGCTTTTTCTAGAATAGGTTTAACATGTACAAATGATGAAAAAATGAAATATGTTTAAAGAAATTCAGAAATTCTGAAATTTATTATTCAAAAACATGTTTCTCAAAATTTAGTAATTAAAACAACAATTGAAATGAAAAATAAATTTTCCTTTCTTTTTTTTTAAAAAAAAAGTCTATAAAATATGTTAAATAAGAGTGAGAAGTCAAAAATAATGCAGACTCTTTCTCAAAAGTAATTAGCGCAAGGAAGGATCAGTGTTGAACTAAATTCTTCTTAGCGAATACAAACCGTTAAAACACACCAATTCTTAATCAATGGGACTCACTAAATTCATAAAAATGGGATATGTAAATAGACTTCATATGGCATGCTTGTAAATAGTTTCTTAACAATATAAATATTATAATAAATTTACGAAAATTATTTATGCAACATAATTGTTTAAATGAAAGAAAGAAAAAAAATGTTTTGCATCACTTGTAGAAATTTTGAAAACTTAAACAAAGTAAATATTCCTTCTACATTGAATAAAGTAACGTTTTATTGTTCCAAATTGTTTCTCTTTAAACTCAATTTTTATTCGGAATAAAGTTTAGATCGGCTTTTATTTTAGGTATAAAAAAGAGTTTCTTTTCTTACGTCAAAGCTCTAGGTAATCCGGGAGTTAAGTTTTATCCCTATACGCCAATATAGTGATCGTAGGTGAATCCATATATTGGAAGGAAGGTAAGCATTTATCTGGACAGGGACGTGTTTTTCTCTGCGTATACTGCCATATCATTAAAAGAAACTCGTTTTTTGGTTTTCAGGGGCTTAGTATAACTAGTTAATTTCAGTAAATTTTCACAAGAAAATTATTATTTTCTTTTATTTACAAATATATATAAAAGTCTAATAGATGGCGTAGCTAATTTCCAATGTTGTCGATGCACTTTAATTGGCCCGAAATTCACATGGTAGGATCTAGTTTCCTCACATTAATTTCTATATTTTTTAGTTTTCATCAGCATAAAACTAATACAAAAATATAAAAGCATTGTTTTCCTGTAAGATATTTTTGTATCCGAAATTTAAAGGTATTTGCCTGTAATATTTATATTTCTTGGGTAATAGTTGACATTCTGGAGTCCCTCTCATTTTTAGTAAATTGCAATTAAACAAATATGTATGTTAATAAGACAAGAAAAAATCACGAAAACAAAAGAAAGACAAAAGTTGCGGTAACCCGAAGCTGACGTCATTGAAAGCAAAGACTGCTAAGTATATCATGGTAACCAGAATTGGAATTTCAGCAAAACTGAACGAAAATTATCGCCAAACCAAGGATGCCCCAATTCTACATCAGAGCCATTTCTTATTTTACTTCGAAATTATTACTTTTCTGTATTTGATATTTTTCTGAATTAAAAGTTTAAAACTTAAAGAGTTGTTTTTTGTTATAATAACGTACTTCTGGGATATTACCTTTTAAGCAACATTTTTAATATTAACTAACTTGAATCGAAGTCTAAACTTATTATCTTTGAAATTAATATTTTAAATCTAGCTCTCCGTTAAATGTTTTAGAACTTAATGATCAGCTTTATGCGCAATCACTTTTAATATTTCAGCCTGTTTGGTCGGCTAAAAATTTGAATTAAAGATGTAACTCACCAAATTTGATAAAACAATATATATTTAATTTTAAATGTTATATAAAAAAATGATTACCAAGCGAAATCATTTATGTGCCCAAAAAGATCTTCCGAGTTACAATGGCGTTTATTTATAAAGTTCCCCATTCTTAGTTGCTATTTCTAAAGTATGTATAAATGAAGAGTTTGGCACAAGATTCTGACCCAGATGTCCTAGTCTCCTCGAAGTCCAATGCTATATATATATATAAGNATATATATATATATATACCTGTTGCTCATATTTTGGATTAGACAAGTCCAAAGAGCTTTTTTTTTCCTCTACAATCAACTTTTAAATAAAATATATTTTGTTCAATTTTAGATTTTGAAATTTAAAAATACATTGCTTGCAATTAAATTAAAATTTGCGCACTAAGCAAATCATTCATGATTTGATCCTTATTATTGTATTAAATATTAAAAATTCGCAATAAATTGTTAAAGAAATTGCATTGTATTTTCTCAATAAAAACGTATTTTGTAACTACTTAGAAGCATATTTGTGTTTGCTAATTTCAGAGATTTGAGGATAAAGGCAAAATGTGAAATTAACATTATAGGCGTTGCTAATCCTCAAAACTTTTAATCATCAAAACATGGTGGCCTGTTATAGACTCCATGTTTTGATGATTAACAATTATAATCCATTGGAAAAAGACATGGGAAAGAAAAAATGTTTACAGCAAGATTACTCGTATTTGTGCTCAAATTTTGAAAATAAAATAACATTTGAATTAAATAATTAAACTACCCTTGCACCTCATGTGCATACTACGTGGATACCGGTAAAGGATAATCCAATAATTATATCAAAAGTTATTCAGAATATTTTTTACTGGGCACACTATGCAATAAAAATTATCTTCACAACCTTCAGCTTAAAACTTTGTTACAAAATTTAAGCATAAATTCTTACTTAGGTAAGAAGTAATTACATACTTCACTATTATAAAAAACAATTTCCGATATTCTAGATACACACATGTACTTGAAATCAATAAACTGCCTTAGTTTAAAAAAATAGAAGAACGAAAAGAAAGTAAAGTTAGTTAAGGAACAAAGTATAAAAGCAAATGGATACTTTAAACTAATTTACGATAGAAATGCAGGATATCTAATGAAATCGGATGTTTTAATAAGATTCAAGTCACGAATGTTAGAATCTCTTAGCAAAGATAGTTTCAGACGTAGCAGATAATAAAAAATTAAAGGGAATGAAAACAGGGCGTAGTGCTTATTTTAGCAGAGCATACATTTGAATTCTTCATTTGCTCCATTCTCAATTTTTTTCATTCTCTTTCGTCCTTATTAGAAAAAATCTGTGTTTTTTTTTTATTCGAAAAAAAAGTTTGGAAAGAACTATTTTGACTGGTAATCCCATGTCTAGTCTTTTAATTATTCTAATCTGGTTAGTAGTTCTCAAAGAGATAACTGAAGCGAAAGCAATAATCTCTGCCTGAGCTGAATTTTGGTTGTAGCATATTAGAAATTATTTTTAGTTATGCTATTTTTCGCATAAGTTAAGGAAATATATTAAAATCAACAGTATTTGTAAATATCGTAAATATTAGAAATTATAAACATTTTTGATTTTAAATATATTCACAAATATATTCTAAAAAACTCTGGACTGTAAATTTCAAAGGAGACTACCAATAAATTTGGACCATCAAGGAATTAACAGAAAAAAAGTTGTTTGCTGATTTTCAAAATCAATTTTTTTCGTTGGTTAATAAATCTCAATAGCAATACAGTTTGGTGCAGGAAGCCAATAATTATCAATTTTTGAAACCAAATATTTTTACGGCATCATTGTTTTGAAGAATTAGCGCATATTAGCGCATATTATTTGAAGAATTAGCGCATATATCTTTCGTTCGGTCGAAAAGTCTTCTGAAAACCAAATATTTGGCAATCCAATTACTGCAATAATTTCTGTAAAATTCTTGAATAACTCAAATTAAATAAATGCTACTGTAAAAGTTATTTTACGGTAAAAATAAGTTTTATGGTAAAAGGGATTTTACGGATAATGCATCCAAAGTACTGGTATTTTTTTACTGGAATTTAATCCGGAATTTTTTACAGCGTAGTGCAAGGCTCATGTTCCTAACCCTTATGCAAGGCTGCTGCATTCCTAAGAAATTCTCCCGCGCGAGAAACAATACATGCTAGAAATAGGCAAGATGCGGTCCTTTGCAAGGTAAAGCAAGAGAAAACATTCAAACAATTGTATGTTTAGATATATGTAACGCTTAAAAAAAATGATAGAATATTTAAACTCTTACACTCTTTTTGGTTCATGCAGTGAATGTTCAGCCCGGCACACATTCCGATGGTGAACCAGTTCCTCCCATGTGTTGTTCTATTAAAGAACTGTATTTTTAGAAATATGTAACGTTAAAGAAACCGTGATAGAATATTTATACTCTTACACTGATTTTGGTTCATGCTGTGAATGTCCAACTGAGCACACATTCCGATGGTGAAGCAGCTCCTCCTTTGTGTTCCATAGCTATTTTCATCCAGTCTCCATCACATAAGCAGGGATGCCCCTTGTAAATATTTTTGTTGTCATTTGGCGTGCATAAACTTGTGAATGACAAAGTTTAAGTGAGGATAATATCTTAAGTATTAATTTTTGAAGGTCGAAGTTTATGATCCTCCAGAGCGGGGACAGCTTTGACGGACCTTTATAAAAACAATTCTATAGAACGTACCGTTGATGTGTGTGCGTGCCAGGTGACCTAAGATATACATATCGTACATTTTTAATACTAGAAGTGACGCTGGGGTTGTTTTGATCCTTAATTGTTTTGATCTTTAAATCTTTGGAAGACAGACTTTAGTTTCGAAGCTTATATTGAGTCGGTGAATATTTCCTGCAATAGTTAGAACAGCTTGCTTGCGCAGTTTTAAACGATTTTTTCTCAAATTTCAAAGAAAATGTTTTTTTTAATTAATTTTAAAGTGTTCCAAAAAATTTATTCAGTTTAATGGAACATTTTAAACATTATAGTAAAAAAAGACAAAAACTAAATTAGCTTTTTTATGAAAAATGTTCATATTTCCATAAATATTTAAGTCAGACTTACGAAATTTTGCTTTATTATTGCATATAATAACCAAACTAATAACCACAAGTTACAAATCTGTTGCTACATTTTTGGGCATAGGGAGTTCAAAAGCATTATTTTCCGTTTGTTATTTATTGTTGGCCCCTCAAACCTCGAAAAGCTTTTAACTTCCTTGATATGTACGAATAATCGCATGATCTAAACACTTTTGAAGTTATAAAATATTTTGTTAGGTATTTCTGGAGAAATATGAAAAAATTGTATTAGTATAGAAGTGTTTTCATTATTTCGTCCACCCCCTGTAATTATAGATAATCTTGAATACATAAATTCTCAGTACTCGTTAGTTATGTATGAATTTAAGCTTATTTTTCCATCCAATAATCAGCAAGTTACGTCTTAAAACGAATTTTTTTCCGGTTAGATTTAAGACTTTTTTTCGTGATTCCATTTCTTTTAAAGCAGATTATTTGTATGATTTCAGAATGGAGATAATATGTATCATTTGTTTCTGTAGTGTCTTTTGCTCGGGAAATCTTCCACGTTTCAGTCAATCCAACAGAGGACTCTCAACGTCTTGGCATGAGTGGCGACTTACAGCTGGCGATATTCAGTCATGGAGTTGGACTAGCGAAACCTGGTATGGCCTCGTGTTTTGTTGTATGGCCAGTTGCTTACATTCGGCAATATCTTCACGAGTCGACAGGGTCAACGGGAAGAACTAAAACCACGATTGTGTCTTTAGAAGTAGGAAGGTATCTCTTTTGCTTTGACATATTTTACAATAAATTAAAAACAATGATAAATATATTATTAAAAATTGCAATGAGATAGATAATCATTTTTTCGTAGCACATTGCTGGAAACATTTATTTTTTGAAATTTTGCACTGCTTCTTCTTACATAAATTTTCAAAACTTAATACACTTTACCCAATACGAGCAAGCACAATAATTACTTGAAAAAATGATCCTGAGAGATAGCTGCAATGAGGGAAAATAAATTTTAAAAGCAGTTAAAGTTTTTTTTAAATTTCCAATGAGCTGCACAATCAGTCTTCCCGATGAGCAGACCTAGTGCGTTCTCAAGAAGTGGTATCCACTCTTTCAGGACCACCACAATGGGTGAGATACCGTTGGCCAAGTTAACTTGGACGCCTAGTTTCTGCCACACTAGATGGCAGCACCGAGACTCTATTTGGATGCTAAAGTGCAAAGCAATTAAAGTTGAAGTAATAGTATTGGTATAGTTACCAATCATTAAAGATCATTAAAGCAATTAAAGTAGAAGTAATAGTATTGGTATAGTTACGTCACAGTACACTTGACTAACGGGCTGTTAATGACCATCACAATTTTGATCTTCTGCTGAGAGGATGGATTTCCTACCTTGGTATTCCAACGACGAGTACTTTACAGTAGTGCCTGACTTCGAGTACGAAACAAACTTAACAAGAGCAAACAACACCCACCCTCGGTACTTTTGCAAGCTTATCAAAATGTTCACCCATCTGCTAACTGATAGCTGCCAGTGATACTTGGCTTTAATGATCTACTGGTAGTCTTACAATCAGTTCACTGTTCTTGGACTATTCTTGATATTTGGCTTCAATGATCTACTGGTGGTCTTACAATCAGCCCACTGTGGGACCTTTTCCTTGTTAATTAATTCTACAGTTTATTATTTTCACAGTTACAGTTTAGTATTTATTATTTTATTCTACAGTTATTATTTTCAATTCAAATGATCTCTGTAATTAAAGAATTGTCCTAAATTAAATCTAAACAACATATAATTCACAGCCTTCTTTTATATAGTTTTTTTTAATTTGCTTGATAAGAAAATTTTGTTTTAACAAGCGACGGATTTCAAATTATTTAATTCAAAAAAAAAATCCCAGCTGGAATATTTTATCTTAGCTATTTTTAAATAAAGAGCCATTTATTTCTGTGTTCTCTAATTCATAATCCCAAGTTCAAATCTATATCTAATGTCTGTATCAATAATTATTAGGGAAATCTCTTTACCTGCACACTATCGCTCACCAAATCTTAGCCCTCTCTTTCTATAATACGTATTTTTTTTTTGCTTTAGAATACTTTTAGAATGTGCCTGTTAACAAACGTCTTACTTTCCCTGCCAAGCGTTTTCTGTGAAGTAATGTGATACCTGCTGTTAGATATCTGCTGATTGTCAATCTACAAGGTTACTCTCCAATGAATTTAAAACAACAGTAAAAATATTTTTTTATAACTCATTCTACGAAATTCAAGCACTCATATTCTCAGAAGATTAAAATTGACTTCCAAAGCAATCAGTTTAATGGAAGACCGCAAATAATTCTAGCTGCGATATAGAATTTCGTTTTACAATTTCAAGTATGTTATTTTTTGTTTTCATATTTCTTTTTCTGATGTGTTTATTTATATCTTCCTTCGTAATTTAAAATTTTACGAAATCATGAGGGATTAGAAGTGTCATATCTGAAACCATTCTATTAAAATGTTTGTTATTTTATTTGAAACTATCGAAAATATGTTATTTACAATTGCAACACAATCTTTAAGCCATTGCCTCATCAATATATCTATATGGTATAAAAGAGAAAAAAAATGACCGAGTGAGAGTTGAGAACCAAATAATAGTTGAGAAGTAAAGAGTCAAGCACGTACTAAGTAGTTAAATCAACAGTGACAGGGGACAAGTTTGAACAAGATTATCGAACAGGTAGGAGGAGGTTTCGAAAGAACCTAGGGCTCAAATTATTAAATTAGAACAGATTTCTAAATGTCAGGAAACAGTGGGATACTAGAAAAATCAGTCTTGTGACGTAGATACTGGGAACACTCAGACCTGTGATTAGATTTCAAACTATGTAAACTGATGAAAGATCAGTTAGTGTCCTGATTTAGGAAATAATTTCCGTACTCCTTAAGCCAAAGTTTAAAAATAGTTGAATTCCAACCCCCCTTTTTCTAAGTCCAAATAATGCATCGCAACAGAGAGGAAACATGTCTTACAAATTTGACAAAAAGTTAATGGGAAATATCACTGTTAAAAGTGACTCTTCTGTTATTTAAAGTTGGAGTTGGCAGCACTGCTATAACTGAAACCCGTGCTACATTTTTGCAGTTAGATTTGAAAGTTTTTATTTTACCAGACTCTGTTTAAAAAAAACAGTGCAATGGTTGTTTCTTTCTCAATTTTAGGTATTTGGGCAACGAAATTAACTACCCAATTTTTTCCTGGAACTTTTTACGCTTGCAAAACTATCCATAGCAACGTCAAAAGAATCCCAGTGTTTTAAATTGTGACTGGTGTACATTAAATATGTCGGGGCCCAAAGTCCTTAAAGTTTCCAAAACAAATCAATACCTCTAGGGGTACCGGTCGAATAGTTCTCTTGTCTTTTGTATTGGGTTCAAAATTACAAGGCTAAGGAGTTAAACATTGGTAGCCGTAAACTCAAATTTGGATCAGATGTTCAACGACGGTTATTAAATAAAAAGTCAATTGAGAGATTGCCACAAGTGGCTAGATTTAGTAATTCTATGTAATTATTGGACAAACAACTGTGATTTTAATAGAAAATTCACATTTTCGTGAGTAGCACATACGCATTTTATATGGTGTTTACCAACGCATAAAATATTAACAGGTACAGCAAACCTCAGATCTGTCAATTTTTATGTTTGAATGTATTTGCTTTGATACTTGATATGCTTCCATCATGGTGCACATTTGGCTTTGTTGACTTTCTGTCCGTTTTCTTTGACAATCATGCACTCAGCTCAACCAGAAGTTTGGTAAAAAAGTTTATCAGATGAGTAGAAATTTGTTACAAGTTTTTTTTGTTTCCTCAGAAACTTAGTTACTAGGCTATTTCTTTTGTTTTTATAGTAAGGTTACAGAGTATGCATAGAGCAGTACAACGTTTGCTTGGAGATACATGTAATGCACGATTTGCGTTTCTAATAGCTTTCCTCAATGCCTAAGGAATATTATTAAAAGAATATCCTTCCTAAATTAATACTGCTTGTATCAGTGTCTTTTTATTTTTCCTTTGTCTTCTTTTTTTTCAATTTATCTATTTCTTTGTTAAGTTTCTTTTAAAAAAAATACTTCTGTCATCATAAATTTTTGTTTTGTATTCTTTATCCTTCTTCTTACAAATATCTTTTTTTTTGGAATATTCTAGTTCTAGTTCTATTCTCTCATTCTTTCTGCTATTGCTTTCCATGTACATTTGCATTGATTACTCACTTAAAAAACTTGTAACTATAAACTAAATACACTAAACACAATCTATGACATAAAAGTCAACATCAATATATGATTTTTAATGATAGGATATTCAATCTGAGATAACCAACTCAATATCTATGCATGATTTTCATTGATAGAACATTAAATCTAAAATATTCAATATCAATATGAATTCAATTTAAATTTGTTTGAATCCAATGGCAGTTAATCAATCGCATCAAAAAATAGGACAAATATGATTTTTAAGTGCAAAAATTAAGCTTATTTTAAAATTTTGTCTCTGAAGTGTTTTCAAAATTTATCTTAATTGCATTGTTTCCTGCAGGAGATCCATAACGGGAGAAGGTGTTTTCCAATTTCGAACTCAGAAAGGAACGGAAATCATTCGAGAGTTAAAAGGAATTGTAGAGCTTTGGTCAGCGAGAAAGGCAGTTCTTTCCATACAGCAAAGTTCAGCAAAACACAGCTTCTTCAAGACATCCCCTACAAAGATTACTCACTCTAAAGGACGTTCTTGGAATTTCATTGGTAATAATTTTTTTCAAACAGATTGATTTCTTTTTAACAGATATTTCTTCCTTCATAATAACTTACAAGACCAGAAAATATATATTTTGAACTAATTTTAGAGTAATTTTTCTCGAACAAGTAGGTCATGATCCTGGTAGCAGATTTCATATAGTTAATCTGTAATACAATCTTCATAAATTCAAATTTGCCTGCGACTCCTGGTGAAGTCAGTCAATGATTATTATTTTAAAATACAATTTAGTTTAGTAAATTAAATAAAATCTTTATGTTTAGAATTCGTTTGAATTTTATACAGTCAAATATAAGTTTTGCCTAAAAATAAGGAAAAAAATATTTATTTATAATAAAATCTGAAAAGGTAAAAAAAACTGTATTTATAAAATTAATTAACAAGCAGATTATAATTACAATATAAAATATATATATTTTTAATTTTAGAGTAAGGACTTACCAGAATTTTATTTTACGATATTCTGATTTGCTCGTTTTTAAATGTAATTCATTATGTTTAGCATTACCGCACCACCACAGGTAATTTTTAAGACAAATAAACAACAATTATAAAAATAAGCATTAAGCTTCTTTTGAAGGTAACAGATTTTTTAAAGGAAAAGTATTCCTTAATTTTCATACATAAAGATAGAACAACTGTTTTCTTTCTCATTTTGTCTTTAATTTTTATTTACTCTCAGTTTTTTCTGCTACAATTTTTTTTCTTCATTTACCCTTTTTTTTTTAAAACTCTGAGGTGGGTAATCATCTGCAAATGCTGTTTTGTTACGTTAATTTTCAGATACCAATTTGCAGATAATAATCTGTGGATGCAATATGCTGTCATTCTGGAGAGTTTCGGATACCAGGTGCATGTCGTATATTTTTCAAAAAGAGATTTATTGACGACATCAATTTCGATATAGACGATATCTGTTGTATCAGTTTTCAAAATAATTTCTTCGAGCACGCTCTTACAACATACAAAATCATTTCGTGTACGCCTCCTCGGAGGCCTTGAACTCCACTCCTCATAACTCTTTCTGTATCGTAATCACATAAACTTAATCGAGCGACTTCCATTTCATGGCCAACGCCATCATTCATAAAACGAGTCTTTCTGAATCTAGGGGCTCCAAAATCACACAGACGCGATCTGAATAGGTGACTCTTGCATCACATCTCGTATTAGTAAGTGTACATAGTCAGTTAGCACATGTACTATCAGAATAGGTGAGCCTGGGGAGGCTTTTCTTTCGCATTCTGCCGGTTTTGAAGCTGTTGTCAGTACCGATTAGGTAACTTAATTCTATCAAAACAAAAAAACAGAAAGTAGTCATCCGGGGCATCAGTTTGACGATCTAGACAGCCTGAGGCAGTTATACTACCTTGTACGTTGTTGGAATTTGAGGAAAAATACAGACGTGTGACTAGGAATATGGTGTGGCGCAGAGTGACGATCGTGACACAGCCGATTGGTTAGGGCGACGTCTTTTCCCTAAGAGCGATCCTCTTTCCTATCCTTAAAGAATATCCACTAGGTAAACACTATTTAAGATCCTGGGTTCAATCCTCGGGTCAGTCAAGGTTGACTGAGACTTTCATTCCTTCAGTGAGTCGATAAATGAGTACAAACATGTTTGGGAACTAAACACACTGGGGTTTCTGCTTTCGGCTGACCACCTAACCGAAACATCTGCTCTTGCACTCCAGAGCCCAAGGTCAAGAAAACTGAGATAGGCACAGTAAGCCTTGTCTCTCTATTGGCTGTCGCACCACTGAGTTTAGTTTCGACGGTGTTGAAGGTCAATCCTTGAGGTAAGAACTCAGTGGAACACGCACTTATCACCAAAAGATAAAAGTGTGTGTTCCACAGAGTTTTTACCTCAGCATTGTTTTCACATTGAATTTAAAGTCGACTTTGAGTGCTGTCAATCCATCTTTTAGCCATACCCAAATATCATTGCTGTAATCTTTTTCAAGTTTAGTTCAGTTCTTAATCGCCCGATGTTGATCATGAGTATTGTGCTTGCATTACTTCGTTAGAGTTGTATTTAATCATATATTCCGTCACGTCACCACTGGTCTAAGTAGATATAGCTATGATATTAATAATGATAAATTTGTAAAGACAAAATATGACAGGCATCATTTTAATTATTCTCGAATTGTGGCGTAAATGGTATTATGGGTTGCAGAAACATAAACTCTATATAGAATTGTATTTCTTCATTAATATGTTTATATAAAACAAAATCAAGAGGCTATTTTGAAAATGTCAATTTTCACAAAGGAAAAAAATTGATAATAAAGTAAACTTTTAATTTTTAAATGAAAAAAAAATATCATCCCTTTTTGGCATGATTACCCCGTTAGCATAAGCAAATTTACAAAACTTTAAAAACTAAATGGCCATTTAGTGAATAATTACAGTTTATCGACATAAATTCCTTGCTTAGATCTATTTCTTATACACACAATTATTGAAAATATTGCTTTCTAAAATATGCTTTCTAAAATATTTTTTTCAGGTCGCTCTGCTCCATGCACTCCTAGTCTTGCATTTCCGCACACCTGGCACCAAAGGAGATCCAGTCCTGGCCCCAGCAAAAAATCAGCGCCAGATATAACGCGAACAAGCAATACATATGAAATTGGGAAATCACCCAAACATTCAGAATCTGCGGATGCAGAACATCCTATAAACTACATTGTTCCTTGTTTCGAAGGATCACCGCCGTCCGAAAAGACGAATCAGTCAAAAAGTCCATGTGTGTCAAATAAAAAATCGGTAATGACTCTATTTACTCTTTAAAAAATACACTGGTGAATAAAATTAAAGGATAATTTGCAGACTTTGTCGATTATCTCTAGAACTATAGTATCGATTTTAATGAAATTTGATGTGTACATACATTGATACAATACAAAACAAATAATTATTCAATAATTGCAATATACGCTCATGATCGTACGTAACACTCGTTGTAGTCGAAAGGTATGAAACAGCGGTTGCAGAACAAACAAAAAAAATGGGTTAATGGTGCGTATGGTCCCCTCTTACATATACACGGGCCTTGCAGTGTGATTTCATACTTGAAATAAGGCAGTTTATCATTTCCTGTGGCAATTGGCGTGGATTGTCCTGTGGCAATTTCATACCTTCCGACTCCAACGAGTGCTACGCACGATCATGCGTGCGTGTTACAATTGTTGAATGATTATTTGTTTTGTATTGTATCAATGTATGTACATATAAAATTTCATTAGAATCGGTCCTGTTGTTCTAGAGATAATCGAGCAAGTCAGCAAATTCTCTTAATTTCTTACACCACTGTACATTGATATTTCTATACGATAATGAAGAATTCATAAATCCCCCTGAAAAGAATTAGGGGTGATTGACAAAACATTCGGAAATTAGGAATTCAAAAAAGTCGTATGAATTTTAGTTTTCTTTCCTTTTTTTTCTCGAAGGATCGTCACCGAATTAGCTTTCGTACTATCTATGGTAGTATGCAAAAAGCAACAATTATTTGTGTGCAAATGCAGTTTAACTTTGCATTTATTAAAGAAGGATAATTTTGCGCAAAAATTCGAACTTTGAAAATCATCCATCTTAAAATAATACACCTGTTCTCAGAAGAAAGCCACGAAAAGAGTTGCGGTTTTCAAAATCAAATGCTTTAAAAATTATTTAAAAAATTAACTCTTAAGGTGATTGTGTGAAATTGTAAATTGTATTAGACAAACATGCATTTATATCTAATGCGTTTTATGCTTTCCTGCGTAAGTAGTTTAAACAGATTCTGGGATGATTCTATTTTCTTTTTTTCTATTTTTTTAACAGCTATGTGCATTTTCAAAAACAGTTTCAAAACCTACTAGTGAAGCAACAAAAAAATTTAAATAAATACAGTTTTTTAAATATAAAATTGTGATTAAAATGTATTTTATAAAATATAAAATGAGGTTAATGAAGTAATGAAGAATGATAAAAATCATGTTTAACTATCACGGAAAAAAATATATTGCTGCTCTAACTATTCGCAGTTATTTGCTTATTAAGCATATTTGCTTTTTAAGCTTATTTTCCTGAATATAATACTTTATAAATTTCTAGATCGCTCTGAGAAGTTCAAATTTGCTGCAGCCTAATTAAGATTCTGAATTGAACCATATTATAGGAGGAAATAAAACATTTTTGATTTCATTAAGCGATAAAAAGCCAGTCTCAATTGAAAACATAATTTAATTTTGCATCTAATTTAATGTTGAGCAAATTTGCACCGTACTAAGTGTCAATATACCTATAATATGGTTGATATTTGATCGATTTATCTGAGAGTGTAAGGATGATCAATTTAAATCGTTTTTTCATTTGAAAGACTAAATATAAAAAAGCTATGTAAGCTCTAAAGAGTGCCTGATTGAAGCAACAGAGTTTTTGGTGACTCTGGTGGAACGACTTTCTACCAGTAGAAGCGCTTTATCTTGCAAGTGGGGAATGATGTGAATAACTAAAAGCTCGTGCCGCCGCCATCTTCTTATTGTTGATGGACACGTAGCACTAAACGATGTCTCATCTCTTCAATATATACTAAAAAATATCATTTATTTAATGCGAATTTTTATACTGAATTTTTTTTTGTTTAGTATATGTCAGACGCATCATTCGAATTCGCTGTAGATTAAATTAATATTCCTTTAGACCAATAGAATGCATTTTAAAATCTTCTGAATAGGAAAACATGTTTCTTGCTAACCTTGTACTCTGTAAAAATTGTAGATCAAATTAGAGTAGAAAGTACTGGCATCCTGAGTATTGTAACTAGTAAATATTTTTCGTAAAACTCATTTTTATAGTAAAAGTTTATACTGTAATTTTTATATCAATATTTATTTAAATTTAATATCTCAGTGATTTTACAGTAAATAACACAGTATAAAAATTGCGGCTAATTAGATTTTTAGAATTTCGGATCAAATTACGGTAAAAAAAGTACCGGCTCTTAAAATGCCAGTACTTTTTACAGTTATATGATCTGGAATTTTTTCAGTAGTATACGCACTTAATTTTTAGTAATGATAAATTATTAAGCAATGAGTTTTTATGAAGTATTTCCTACCCTCAGGTAACAGCAGATGTGGGCAAAGATGGCTGCGTCAGAACAAAGCACACAAGAATAATGGGTGCCTGTTCCATTCCGGAAGTTCAATCTGTTCGAATGGACGCATGTTCGGGAGAGAGTAGTGACGAATGTTGTTATGTGGAGGTGGACCCCACCGATGCTCCTCAGCCACCTCCAAGTCCTCTTATGGGCACTCCCATGCCAAGTCCTGCCAAAATTGGAATTTCAACCTGTAGTCATGAGCCCGAAGGTAAAGAGGACCAAAACGTCCATCAGAGGTGTGTCGTTGTTTAGAGACACTCGGAAGGTTAACATTTAGTTAACGTAGATAGTGATTATAATAATGTCGATTTTCAACATTAGAATCCGCATAAATTGAAATTAAAAAGTTTGATCCACGTAGAAAGCTTACGGTTATTGTTGTGATAATGAATTCAACAATAAAAACCGTGTAAATTCAAATTCAGATAATTCCCTCAGCGAAGAATCCGTGTGAATAACTATAAAAAAAAAACATTGTCTTTGTAAAAAGTTTGCACCTAATCAATGCAGTAGTAATGAGCTCAGTTAAATTCAAGAAAACTCGAGTTAAAAAAGTAATCAGCGGAAAATCCGTTTGAATACAAATGAAAAAAACGTAATCCTTGTATAGAGTTTGCATCCAATTAATGCTGTTATGATGAATTCAGCAATAAAATCCGTATAAGTTCGAAATGAAAAATTCCATCAGCGTAGAATCCGCTTGAATACAAATGAAAAAAAAATTAATCCTTGTATAGAGTTTGCATCCAATTAATGCTGTTATGATTAATTCAGCAATAAAATCCGTATAAGTTCGAAATGAAAAATTCCATCAGCGTAGAATCCGTTTGAATACAAATGAAAAAAAATTAATCCTTGTATAGAGTTTGCATCCAATTAATGCTGTTATGATGAATTCAACAATAAAATCCGTATAAGTTCGAAATGAAAAATTCCATCAGCGTAGAATCCGTTTGAATACAAATAAAAAAACGTAATCCTTGTAGGAAGTCTCCATCATTTAAATAATGATGAATTCAAATATAAAATCCATATAAATTCGAATTTGAAAATTCGTAGGAATACAAATTAACCAAATTCGTCCAGCGTAAAAAGTTTAAAGACTTTTACAGCTGTATTAACGAAATATTTTCTGATTTCAGGCAATATAATCGGCGAAAATGCAAAGCGAATCGATTTTTACGGAAAGGTTAGGTTCAGTTAATGTTGCGATAGTGAAAATGAATACTGTATATCAAGAATAGAGCTGTTTAAGTTGCATTTTATAACGAAATTAATTTAGTGTATTTATATCCAGTTAATGATAAAAACATGATTACATGCATTGAATTTTAGTCGACAGAATGAGTGCACATTTTTAAAGCTAAAACTAAACATTTGTATATGTGATTGTTGCAATTTATTATAGTCTTACAGTATTTTTAAAAGTTGTAAAAATTGGATTTTATTGTAAAGTAAAACAAAATAGTTAGATACATTCAAAAATTTATATTTTAATTACTCTTTAAAATATGAGAAGATAAATGAAAATTTTTTTCGATAACAATTATTCATTTTTTTTACTTATTGTCTTTTTTGTCTAAACTTATACAACATTCTATTACCTTATTCGTTTTTACTTTTTTGCATTAAGCATTTATAACTTATGTGCAATACTTTTCTAGGTTACCTTGAGGTCATACCGACATAGTGAGTGAGAAAATGAAGACACTTTTGTTCGATTAAAAAAACTGATTCGTTCTTGAAGTGAGGTGCTTGCATTGTAAAAGAAAACAAACTGATGTTTTCACGTTCATTTCGTTAAATTATTTTTGTTTACACTAATAGCTTTGAAAAAGAAGCTCATTGTAAAATTTCAACTATCACAAAGAGAGAATCTTTGTCAATTTATTTAATTTTTATATCATCGTTGTACTTACAAGTATATAGAAGTCGAATTTCTTTTATGCGTGATAATGATACAATATGTATTATATATATTCATATATTGTTTGGATTTCAGTCATATGAATAAAATTCTAATCATGTTTCAAATGACTCTGTCACTTTATTGCGTTAAAACATTCACCAAATACACCAAAAAAAGATGGTCTTCAACATCACTTGAAGAAAATACGTGAAAAAAGCAACGCATGGTTTGCGTTTGTTCCTTTGCTAGTAATATTTTCCCATAAAATTTAGAAATGGCTTAAAAACGTTTGCCAACAGATAGTAGTGCTAACTAGAAAAATATATGAATGTTTTCTGTTGCATATTATACAATACCAACTAAAATATTTACACAGTCCTTTACTAATTTTGTTGTAAAATTGCAAATCATTTTTGCTGCAGTAGTTGGTTATTTTGAAAACAGTGTTTCTCATTTAGCAGCGCTGTATGCTAATAAGGTTTGTAAGGTTGCGGGGTTTAAATGCATACTGGAGTTAAGTAGTATGCATGTTTGAGAAAATTTTACTTTAAATTTCTAATAAAGGGAGGTGCACTTAATGAAATATTCTCTTTTATCCATCAAATTTAAATCTTCATTGCAAATCAAAAAAATTTTACAGTTAATTAGAAAAATATATACAAATATAAAAATAAGAGATTAAAACTTTTCTGACGACGAGGAAATTTTTTTAAAACCATGTAATCCTTAAATTGCTTTCTTAAACATCTGTTTAAGAAAACGTAGAGGGAATTTTGTCGTCCTGATCGAAAAAAAAACTACACACATATATATATATATAGTTTGCATCCAATTAATGCTGTTATGATGAATTCAGCAATAAAATCCGTATAAGTTCGAAATGAAAAATTCCATCAGCGTAGAATCCGTTTGAATACAAATGAAAAAAAATTAATCCTTGTATAGAGTTTGCATCCAATTAATGCTGTTATGATGAATTCAGCAATAAAATCCGTATAAGTTCGAAATGAAAAATTCCATCAGCGTAGAATCCGTTTGAATACAAATGAAAAAAAAATTAATCCTTGTATAGAGTTTGCATCCAATTAATGCTGTTATGATTAATTCAGCAATAAAATCNTATATATATATATATATAGTTACTATCACCCTAACTGTAATAAAACTATTATTTCATAAGTCTAAAAATGATGCCTATTGGAGATTCAACGTAATATTTTCTTTAAATTATTTTTCAAGCATTTCCTAAATCCGAAACAAATTCCTTGCAATAATTTAAGGGGAAGCAACACCACAATGAAAACAGGCACAAAAATATTTTTTCTATATGAATAAAAGGTTATCAACTAAGTAGTTATAAAAATAACACTATTATTCATATAGCCCAGTTAACATTAATGCTAAATATAAATTTTTTAAAAAAATTTGAAGTCTCATTTTCAGATCATGTGTTCTTTATTACGAAAAACTTTAAAAAAAAGTTACAGTAATGCTTAAACACGTTTTTACCACGAAAGAAGTCACAAAATTGGGACATGTCTTCCATATCAGATATAGAGAAATACTAAAATTTTTCATTTCAATATTTCTTTAAAATTAGGGATAAATAGCCTAATTTACCGTAAAGTTAAGTACAACGTTTTTGCCAGAAAAAGAAGTCTCAAATTTACCTCATGTGCTCTTTACACTGATAGAACTTTCATTCTGAAATTACTGTAAAATAGCCGGCAGCAGTCTGTCCATCTGATTAATCATACAGTTTATTGTTAGGAACGATTCTTTAGCTTTATGGTTTTGAAACCGTTTACAACTGGTACAGTTAAATAATCGTGAGTACAAATATATGCGGTTTAGTAACCATTTACAACTAGCGTAGTTTCAAAACCATAAAAATATAGCTTAAAAGCTCATTGGAGCTATCTCGATGCTACCTCATTTATGCATGGATTATAGTTTCATATTCTCATAGTCTAGGTTCACCTACTGAAGAGTGCAGAAACTTTTCATGCATTAAAGGAAATATTATAGTATCACCGCTGGGATTCGAACCTCTGTTCTGCCTCTCTGGAGATTGACAGCTTAGCTATCTCAGTTGCAGTATGCACCCAGTGGCATGAAACAGAATGGCTTCACAAGGTGGGTGTAATTAGCGTGAATAGCATTCTAGTTGTTAAACCGTTTTAGGTTAAAACAATCAATAAGTATTTTTTGCATACTTAACAGTTTGAATTGCATTTATTTATGGTTATTTGACTATTTTGGTTGAATATGGTAAAAAAAACAGTTAAAATTTTTTTATTTAACCATCTTTACCGAGATATTTCGAAAAATGCATAAGATAACATGAAAAAAAAGAATAATTTGACATTTTGTAATTATTGGGGTAATACGCCTAATAGACAGTAAAAATTATTTAGCACATTTTTACCAGGACAGAAGCGAAGCGGTGAGTTTATATAGACTGACCTGTTTCTAGTAAAATATCTAAAATCGACCTGAGAATCGCAATAATATTTTATATCTTTGACCTTATTATTTTAAAGCATGCATGAGAATATATTTTATTTCAAATGCTGGTTAGAAAAAATATTATAAAGAATAATGTTTGTCAAACTGCACTTTGGTGATGGTATAGAATCTCTCGAGTTTTTTGAATTTAGAAAAAAAAAAGTCTCACTAGAGTTCAAACAATATCATTCGAAAAACAAATAAACTTTCTTTCTGCTGTGCAATGAAATTTTCCAATGAAATAAAATTAGAGAAAAAAGTGCCGAATTACCTCTTACTTCGTTCTAACAAGGAGAACAATGGAGTATAACTGCTCTAAGAAATTTCTTTGCTATGTTATGTTTCATATGGGATTTAATACACCTAAACTGAAAAAAAAAATTTTAAATGAAAGAAGAAAAATAACAAAACCCAAGTTAGGAAACGTGAATTGGAAATATTTTTTTGTCAATTGCTCTTCACATTGTGAAGTGAACTTTGGGATTAAACAGAAATAGTTTCAAAAATATGATTGGAAAAAAAAGTTTTTTTTTGCTCCTTTGATGTTAACATAATTTTCAACCATAACGACAATTTTTACACACGTAATAAAATAAAAAATAGTTTAAGCAAAAAATATTATGAATCCATTCTGAATTGTTTTTGAAAATATAAGTGTTTAGAATCAAAATTTAACTTTAAATAAAAATAATTATTCATTTAACATTATATTTGCGCTACTTAATAATAACTTTAAAACAAAATAGCTAAACTTTTTAACAGAGCAATAATTTCTCTCCAAAACTAAGCTTAAAATATTATTGTAAATAATAGTTTATTATAATATCTATTATAGTTTATTATTATATTATTATATAGTTTTTATTGAAACCTTCTTGTAAGAATTTGAAATAAGCACTGGAAAATGGTAAAATTATAGTACTGCTTGGTAATGGCATTCTTTGTAAAAAATACTCATAATTCTGAAAATAAAAAACAAAATATATGGTATTTAAAGGCATGCGGTATTTAATTAAAATATATTCAAATCCTAAAACAATTTGAAATTCACACCGAGAAAAAAATTCTGGTAAAATTATAGTACTGTATGATAATGACATTTCTAGTAAGAAGAAAAATATAATTCTTTTGAATAATACCGAAATATACGGTATGTAAACTATTCATTTTGTAATTTTTCCTTTCATATGATAATGGTTCATAAGGTTAACTAGAAATTGTAGTTTTTAAAAATATGGATTTTATTACCACACATTTAGTAAGAAATACAAAATTGAAAAGTTAATTACGCCGGATAAATGCTTTTTATACCCTGTTCTGAAATATCACTATAAAATTACCAAATTTTATCACATAATATATCATAAAATCATATTTTGCTTATTTACCAAAATCATAATTGATAAAAAATCATAAATCACTGCGATCAAAATTATCGAGCTCTTTGGTGTTTCCATAGATCCAGGAATAAAGCAAATCTGGTGTTTCAGACATTTTTTTCCTCAGTGAAGAAGTATCAATTGTATAATTATTTAATATTTTGAACAATATATTGAATCCAATCTCAATCAAATTTTGGCTTAGCAAGACCTCATGGTTATTATCGATTCTAAAAGCAATCTATCGTTTCGGTGTCGCCTAAAACTTCGGTGAAATCTGAATGGCATCCTAATATCGCCTGTGTCGCTCATTTCCTCCCACTCTTTGACAGAAGGTTGGCAAAATCAGGAATGTTTCTGTTTAACAAAACTGTCTGTGAAACAAAAGCATCTCCAAATATCGCTTGTGTTACTCATTTCTTTCCTGTTCTTTGAAAACTAAGTGCAGAACTATGGTAGATATTTTCATTTATTCTTTTATTTTTTGTGAGAAAAATAACACCTCAATACTGCTGGCGTTACTCATATGGTGTATAGAAAGGAAGATAAGTGAATAAACTATGCATATATTTGGTTAACTTTTTTTGTGAAGAAATGAATAACACTTGCTTTATGCATTTCTCTTGCTTTTTAAAAGATAAATAGGAAAAAAAATTATCCCTTTTCTGTAAAATAAAATTTATTAAAGATACCAGTCAAATGTTTCTGTAAAAACAAAATGTACCAAATGTAACAGTTAAATATTTCTGTGGAAACAAAATGCACATAATGTACTAGACAAGTGTTTCTGGGAGAGCAAAATGTCTCAAAAATGCACTAAACGTATGTTTCTGTTGAAACAAAATGCACCAAATACTTCTTGTGTTACTCATTTTCCTTGATCTTTGGAGTCAGTGAAAAAAATTGATGGATATTTTCGTTTCATTTTCTGGCGAAAAAATAGCAATACTGCTAATGTAAAGCACTATTCTCACTGCTGGCGATAATTGCATACGAATAAGAACCAAAGTACTGGAAAATATTTGCCTGAGAATTAGATTGGTGGGGAAAAAATGACATTTACATTGGACGCAATTTTTTTGCATCCCATGGGCATGACTATTTATTCATTTTCCCCTTCTTTATGGGGTATTAAAATAAAAGACGAAGATTTTTTTTTCTTTTACAGAATATATTTGCAGAAAAATTTAACTAACTAATAAAGTAAGGAATTTA